AAAGTAATAGGTTATAAAAAATTGATTTTTTGCTAGGTTCATAACAATACTTTTTTCGAGATGATAAGTATAGGATTATAATATAGTTGATAATAATGGTATTGATAAAACTGTATTAAAAGTGATATGAAAAACAAGTTTATTGTTTTGTTTTTTTTCAAGAAGAGATATCAAGTATTTTTGATTTGAAGAAAAAATACAATAGAATTAAATGGAATACTATTATTTATTATTAGAACTAAATCAATAAGGTAACGAAACCTTTGATTCTTTTTTTTTTAAAAAAAAAGAAAGAAATAGAATAAAATTAATAGAAAAGATTCAATCGAAAAACTGAGATATTCATTAGCCATTCAGATCATTCACTACCTACAGTTAACCACCGCAGATATAATGTATAAGAAATTCTCTTAAAAAATTTTTTTTTTTTTTTTTTTTTTTTTTTTTTTTATATATAAATTATATACTTTATTTATCGTCAAGATACAGTATGTAATAGAATAAAATTATATTTCAAATTTGCAAAAATCTCATTCATACGAAAATTAGCATCAAAGAAGACTATGCACAGTACATATCGCTTGCACAAATGGAGACGTGGATAAAATATACGACTTTCTAAAAATAGGGAACGGCTTACTACTGTGCACTGTGCATACCCATTTTCCAACTCTTGTTATATATTCCTGATTGTTATGTGAAAAAAAAATCAGACCGACGCATCTGTCAATCACGAAAAAGCGCTTTTCTTTCTTTTTTAGCGCCTTGAATTCCTCAACTTCCGTGTGTGTATTACCCTCACTCCCTCAGGTGAGTATCATTGCGGGATTGAGAAAAGATTTACTACGGTATAACACAAAAACAATTTGATTTGATTCGATATTGTGTGACGACTGATTGATGGACCAGTATTCTTTAATATTTTCACCTCACCTCCTAGCGACTGCAAGGAAATTGAAAACGGCACACAAGGATTTAAAATAATCTCACTAATACTTTTTTTTTCTCGTATTTCGTCAAGTTCAACAAGGAGACCGGTTACGTTTGTCAGTCGGATTGACGGGACCAGCTGCGTATTTATATGAAATCGCTTTAATTCCTTCCGGCAGGCATAGGTCATGCTTAGCCTTCTACATCACGTAATGTCACGTACTTGCAAATGCTTTGTGGAATTCTTTATTTTTTTGCGAAACCGCAACTAGTCTCTTAACAATGCATAAAAATTAACCACAAATATTAATACCGTTTCACCTGCGATTCTCATGTGACGTATACGTGTCTCTGGTTTCGTTGCGTCACCCTAGAGCAACCAATCAACGCGCCCAAGGGAAATAAAAGAATTGTTGCGGAGAACACAGGGATTTTTGGTGCAAGTGAAAAGTCGAGGAAAAAAAATATGACTTGTTTCAGTCTTCGTTTGTTATGCAGGTTTAAAATGAACTCATAACATTATGCATTATCACTGTCAACCTATCGTTCATTTCACAAGCACAAAAAAAATCTAGGAATGCTACCAAAAGAGGCAATTTTTAGCAGCGTAAGTTAATTCGGTCACTTGTCCAATATTTTTATTGCATAGTGATAATACGTATGGAAAATAAGCAGCATTTATTTATTTAGTGTGCACGTACAAACTTACGTGCCAATTTTCTCTCTTCTTTTTTTTTTTTTTTTTTTTTTCTTGTGCCTTCTTGTGCATTTTTGTTCAACACACGCTGATATATAAATATAGGATCGGAGCAGTTTGACCCGGATTTGTTGTTTGTGTTTGGAATATTTTTGGTAACAGCTGTCTGAATCCTTTCTGGTCTGTTTCTTGCCCTTGCCTTTTTTCTTTTTTTTTTTGCTGCTCACTTTCTGCTGTTTGAAATGATATTTGCGTAAGTGCTCGTAAAATCGAGGCGTTAACTTGTTTCACGGTTGATTTTCTCTTGATTTTGTTTTTTTCAAAAGTGTCTTTTTTTAATACAACACTAATACTCTTTTTCCGGTTACTCCACAACCTTTCATCCTTAAATGTTTCATCCTTTTTGAACATTTTGTATTAAATACTGGCACATTGTAAAATCCATTATTGGCGCTCATCTTGGATCATCCTAAATTAAAAAAAACCCAATGCCGCGAATTTTTAGGAGAATATTTATTAGGATATTTTTCAGAAGGCGTACACAGAAAAATGATGGAACCAAGGAGAAATCGATAAACGGTATATCTACCACGAACAATAACATCACCCTAGAGAGCACAGGAGGTCACAATGATAACTCCAATCAACAGAGCGATTCCACACTGAGACCCATCTCCGTTAACAATAATGCCACGGATCGACTAAGCTCCGGTACGCGCAGGGATTGGAGGAGCGGGTTCAAACCCATCGACGAATTCCTACAGGAGATGCGGTTAGAATATCCTCAACCCACTCAACATTTAAATTGGATACCGTTTGAAGAATTTGTTAACTGTAATTATGTGGCGAAGGGTGGGTTTTCAACTATTTATGAGGCCACTTGGACTACGTCTGGACAAACTGTGTCCCTGAAATGCTTGAACGATTCTCAAGACATAAGCACCGAATATTTAAATGAGGTTGGTTAGACCCGTGAACTCGTCGTTCATCACTTTGTCTCTCTTTTTCCTCTCATCCGTTAACCGGTATTATCAATTCTCCACAGCTCAAGCGAAATTGGGTTTTGCTTTTGCAACCTCAGTTTCTGCAGTGTTATGGAATCACTCAGCAACCGACCACAGGAGAATTTATGATGGTCATGCAATATGCGCCATTCGGTGATTTGAGATCGTACCTTCAACACAACCAGACATCAAGTTGGAAGGACAAAGTTCGAATCTTGAAACAAATTGCTCGCGGAATTAGCGAGATGCACAAAAGAGACCTGGTTCACGGAAACTTGCATAGCGGCAACGTGGTGAACCTGGACAACGCTCATTTCGTTATTGCCGATGTCGGATTGTGCGGACCCGTCAATAAGCCAACCGGAAAACGTGAGGTCTATGGAGTCATTCCATATCTCGCTCCCGAAGTGTTAAGGGGTCAGGAACCTTCGAAAAAATCAGACGCATACAGTTTCGCCATCATAATGTGGGAATTATGTTCGGGCATTAAACCATACGCGAATTTGGCCCACGATTTCAATCTCGTCAAGGATATTTTCAACGGAATGCGACCTCCCATTCCCTTTGGTACTCCATCATTTTATTCGGAACTGATGACAAGTTGTTGGGACCCCAACCCGTCAAAGCGTCCCGATTTCGCCGAGATTTCAGATACCATTTACCACTGGTTGGTAGACGAATCGTTGGAATCATCACTTCGTAAAAGCAGCATGAAGTCAGCGCTCAAGAATTCACCAAATAAGAAAACACAACATCCGGATGCTGTGTACTACAGTAGGTTATTAGATTTTCCGGAGATTAAAGATATGCGTAGACGTCAATATCTCTCGTTGAACATCCCGCGAAATATTTCGACCATCTCGAGTATTTCGGATCAAGGTATGAAATGAAAATGGTGGATCGGTTGATTGTCACTTTGTCCTAACGACCTCGTTAACGTTCTGCTTCTACGACACGTGCAGATACGCAGAGCGAATCACAAATATCATTAGATGCCGAAGACCAAACCGAAACACCAAATCAATCACCCTCTTCACCTTACTCAAATTTCTCATTAAACCGTTCAACACAGTTACGAAATTCATTAAACTATCCCCCTACCTCCCGAGACACTACCAATTATATTCCAAGCACAAAAGAAACCTATAAGTTTGTACCTCCCAAAGAAGCCTACAGCTTCTTGTCGCAGCCTCCGAGTAAGTTTTTTGTTGAGGAAATGCGAATTTTGCAAATTTTTTAATTTTGACAATGTTAATCGCCTTTGGTTTCTTCATCTCATCAATGTTAGTACCAGCCAATCAAAATGAAAGATCCTTGAACAACCCCCGAGGTATCGATTTCATCGATGTCAATATCATTGCGATCATTTGTTCTGCATTTTACCCTTTATTAATCGATCGATTTTTTTATTCGCTAGCCCCAAACAATGTTCTCAGTATTTTTATACCAGACGATGGTAATTACGGAAATTCCATTTCGACCATATCGTTTTTCAGTCAGACTCTGATTGTGCTTACCAAATTATTTCATTAATATTAGATATTAAAACGTTGCAAACATTCTGGGCGTCAGAGGGAAGAAACATGAGCAGAAAAAGCCTTTCGAGTCTGATATAGTATTACGGTAGGAAGATTAATCGTTGATAGCATCCTTCCTTCAACTACTGACGTTTGATTCCAAATGATGAGTGCCTAATCTTCGTTCTTCTTGACACACGCATAGTGATAAGATAATGAATGACATGTCAGTAAATATATAAATGTACATCGCATTGTTGGTATCGGGTGTGGATTCCTCAATACAATCCACGCGCTCGTATAAAAAGTTGTAATGACATCTCTAGGACGAACTTTTCTCACCATATACATTCCTTTCACCACTTCTTAATTATTATTATTATTTTTTTGTTCACCATTTTTTTTTTTTTTTATCATTATTAAAACTTCGTACTTTAGAATTTTTAATCAATCTTATAAGAAAACCTAAAAAAAAAATTTTCTTTTTTTTTTTTTCATTCATTACGAAACTGCGGGGCGACCGCCTCTTCTCTGTACACAATATACCTAATTTCGTGGAGCGGGGCCGGTTCTTGTTTAATAAATTTTAATTCGATTGCGTTGATTATTTAAATAATTTCATTATCGCATGTCTGTCTTCTTACAGCCATCTCGTTTCGACCCAACTCGAGCATATAGAGAAACTTTTCAAATTCCCAGAACACTTCGTTTCGAGGACAGCCGTCCGCCAACGGACGCGTTTCCAAAACACTCGGGATCAAACGGATGACGTATCGGCTTACCTAGTCTTGACTGACGAAATGCACGACGCGCGACATAATACATGAAATAAATTTATCATCGGAATTTTTATTCCCACCATCAAACGTCCGCGAACACTTGTTTTCGGCTTTTAGGGATATTTTTAGAGCATCACTTTATATAATATCCATGCACGATCTGTGCGAGCGCGCATCTACAATAAGGTAGAAAACAAGATGCACTGACTATTAACCGTTTTCCGAGAACCTCAATCATTACTTAATGTACTGCATGTGCGTATTGTGTACACCAACGAACCTATGAGCTAAAAAAATTTTTTATCGTACAAATAAATTTCCGAGCATAAAAAAAGCGCCGATCTTGTTTTCGAGACCAAGGAAGTTTTGATCCTACTACATACGCATCATATATTATTCATTGGATGACAGAAACCATCTCCACACACTTCTCATGCGCACTTAAGCATGAACATTCTCCGCACACAATCATGTCGGGCCAATTGTGTTTTCTCGTTTGTACAACTAAATAATCCTGTGCCCTTCAACATACAACTGCACGCAAGAGTCAAGTGCTCCCAGCAAGGAGATGCATTTAAAAGTATTATGTAATCGGAATTCTATTAACGATTACTAAGTTAACTTCTATTGTGATTAAATCACAAGATTTTTATCTTTTATAAGTTGCATTATCTGTACCCTTGATAATTATCATCGAGAAAAGTATGCGCATACATTCATGCGCAACAATTTCTTGTTAATGTCAATTTGCCTCACACGGTAAGTAATGCGGTAGAAGCAATTGGAATGTGTATGATATTTCAAGAATGAACAAGTGGCACTCCGATAGAAACTTCAATCCATCTTGAACACCGGCTGTATGCTAGCTGCCCTCCCTTTTTTTAAATTATGCGCATAGTACCAGCGGATTCAAAAAAGATATCAAAGGATGTGTGGCTGATTACATAAAATGCTAGATCCGCAATTAATTTTGAATTCTAAGGGCATTAAGGGCATGCGGTGTTGTAAATCAAATTCCGAAAGTTATCGAAGTTGATGCCCAATTATGCCAGTTTCCGCAGAATTTCTTCTCGTTGGAAGCACCAGCTTTGTTACACTATTACCATCGTCACCACCTTTTACAATGCCTAGTGGTTTTCGAATGCTGTGCTTTGAGCTCGTGGTGGTAAGCACGCGATAGTTTTGTAGCCAGGAAATAAATTAGATGGTGAACGCGGTGATGATCCTATTGTAAAAAAAAATTTTTTATACATTATACAAATAGGATCATCGTAATGTCGTTTGTCGAACTGTCATGGAGAACGTGGAAACGAACATAGTCCATACAGAGAATGGCAAAACCCCATATCATTACATTCATTTGCACCCTTATCAGTGAACTTGCTAACGCATGATATTAAATGCTTACTACACAGAAAATACCTCGGAACAGGTGTGGCGCCACTCAGGGTAAGTTTGTACGTCAATACTTAGGAAGATGCATTAAATTTCTAAACCTAACATCCATTTACAGCATATGCACGGAACCGTAATCCCGATTTCGAGAGGCAAATGAACAAAAGGATAAGGAAATGACGCACATTCAAGAGTAATACTTAAATTCCTAGGTTTTTACGCCACCCCATTGTCAATTATTTCTCGCCATTCTTCCCTACTTCATTGCCATCCCTTATTGTCTCCCCTTATTACCACCCTTTATTGCCACCTCTCATTGCCAACATAACAAATCACCTAACCTTTTTTTTTTTTTTTTGTTTAGTTAGCATATTCACACGCAAAAAATATGGCAATCATAAGCCACTCGGAACGTGCATTGTCACTACCTTATCTCAAAACGCAAACGCGGAAAACGATTAGAAAGTCTCGGTCAACAAGTGACATTTCGCTTCGAGCCCATAAACCAAATTCCAGCGGGTTCCCTCTCCCGCGTACATCAAGCCACAATAATGGTGCTATACTGGAAGAGACCCGACAGATGAAAACCAATTGTATAGACGATCAAAAAAATGAAAACATGTCCATCGTCGAAAAACATCATTCGAGAAATCACACTTCTGATTCAATAATAATTGAATCGAATTCGGAAAGACATGAGCCGTTGAGTACCTCGGAGGGACTTCGGTGCTGCGATCAGTCACTGGTGAAGGAATTAAACAAATTACCCGGTAAAGGAAATAATTACGTACTTGTAAGATGTCCCAAACATCTTGAGGTTGCAGCACAGGACCACGATCCTATGAGTGGTGACGGTCGTGTGTCGAAGAAGAAGAAATGGTGGTTTACCAAGAAGATGTTCAAGAAAGATAAAATGAATGAAAAGGTGATCTGCGGCGTCGGTAGATTTTCGGAAACGGTTACGGTGAGGAGACCTGATGGTAAAATGGTAAGAATCAAATGTTTTTCAAGACACTCTCTACGTAAGACAATTACTGTATCTAATGCTCCTGATAATTGTCGTTTTCATCCGTTAGGTTGTAGTGAAGCGTGTAGATAAGGTAACCAATTTTTGTGTTTAATGAGAATTCATGTTACGATTGGTTTCAACGTTAACCGCTCATCCATTCAAAAAGAATAAACTCGTGCCAACCGATTATTATAAGGACGCTCACCCAGGAAAATGTACTTGCAAATCTTGCCAGGATCATGTCTCGATCTTCTCGTTCGCGAGAGTAAAAGGAACGGTTGCATCCGATATTGTCCATACTTCTAAAATCAAAAACGAAACAAGTCCAACCAAGTCAAAGTCTTCACCCGCATTGATCTCCTTCGCGGAAAATTCAAATTTTACCTCCTCAGGAATACATAAGATCTTGGATGGAGTCGACTTGACTCACTCTCCTCGTAATTCCTTGTCCTCTTCACAATCCCTCCGACCTAAATATTCGGTTCCTCTCTCGGTCTCGCATTCGTCTATGTCTTCCGATGCAGAAAAAAAAATCCCATTGGAATTGATGTCACTGCTGGTACATAGCACGGAGCTTCCTGAACTCATATGTCATCATTCCAATAATGAATATTACTATTATATCACAAAAATGCACGGAGTTAAACAGAGAAAATGGAAGAAACCAAGAAGTTGGTTTTGCAAAAAATATTTCGACATTAATTGGGAAGAATATATCTGGGATCATGTGAGGATTATAGGGTTAGAATAGACTTTATAATAGACGTGATAGAAATCTTTCTGTAAAGTTCGTTTCTCTTCCTTGTGTAATATA